CTCTGAGCCTTTGGAAACTGTGCTCATGAACAAAAATTGGGAAAAAGGAGCAATGCAATCAAAGGAAACGAAATCAGATGCGATGATTCGATTTTACCACAATTGCAAAATGAGCTTGTCAAACCTCGAAGAACTTATGATGTTTCTAGGCATCCTTGGCCAATCACCCCACCTGGTTTTTGCAAGGTCTTGGATAGGGTTGACCTTTCTTAGGTCACGCGATTTCGCCACTTTCGAGACAGCCTGTTGATACGTTTGCGGCACAGAACTGTAGGTAAAACCCCATGCTGCTTCTATGTTTTACACGCTAGAGGAAGCCCAATAAGGGCGGGAAGGTAGGCTTTTGGCATGTCCACGCATAGTTGTGTCAGCTATATGTGTTTTTGTCGACCTACATCCACGGGTGCCGATTTCTCAACATGGTTGGGAGAAGGGTCAGAGTCTTGGAAGTCGCGATAAGAGCAGGGGTGCAAAAAAAGCTGTCGGACATCATCCGCTTATGTTCTGGTTTTCTGGTTATACATTATAATTATATATGTGTATATATACACACACACACACACACACACATATATATATATATATATATATATATATATATATATATATATATATAACCTAAACTTGCTCATGTATGCACACAGAACTCATGCTTTTAGCCAGAGCAGTCACAAATGGAAGCCTTATAGTTTGCATTATCTTCTTATAAGCGTACTTATTTTGTGCGGTTGAAGGGGTACACTTGCACATTTCTGCGTAACTGGAAAGTGAAATCCGCGGATGATTTACCATGCTGTTCTCTGGGGAGTTTCATTGTATTTATTTATGTACTCACAACAATAAGTGTCCACGATGTCACATAATCCCGCTTACACGAAGATTCTCGACACCCCAAAATTTCATTTCTAAAACATGCATTCCAGTAAACGTGAAACAAAACATGAACATTCCCCACGCATCCTTTCATAAAATGGTCCTCAACCCTTCGCAAGCGCGAAAGTACATGCCCTCATCTTGATGATGCATTTCCCCGCTCATTTCATCCGACACGCGTCGCGAACCATCCGTACTTCTGGGAGACACCGTTCTAAGTTGTTGTGCCGCTGAATGAAAATCGGTCCTAACCCGCCTCAGTTCGAATGGATCGCAAATGAAACGCTCAATCTACGCAATCTGCGATTTATCAGCGCCATCTGTATATTTATGATAGGAACTGATTAGCACACAGCACTGCGAACCGGCGTCGAGATTTGGTGGTGAAGCTAGGTAAGTGAAGATGGAAGCTCCATTTTGGTGTTGCGGTTTTTGTCTATTTAGAGAGCATCCTTAGGATTTTGCAAGTAAAATTTACACCCCAATCCAGTTGTTGAACGGTAAGAATTGGTTTTGAAAGACTTTCAGATGCAATATTTTACGATGGCCGCTCTCGCGCGCCAGGCTCTACCCCCTCCGGTGTTTACTGCAGCGGCCTACGCCGCTCGCTTTGATGGAAACCGCAACCAAGGCCATCGGTGTTTCTGCTAAAAGTGCGAACGTGCGGGCTCAATGCTTTTTATTGAACTGTTTTCACGTGCTGCTCCGGAACAAGGATGGACGCAAGAGTGGCACTTTCTAAAATCGGTTTGGAGCAGGGGCTGAGCCAATAAAGTTAACCTAAGCCACCCGAAAACTCTGATTTCTCCCCGGGTTTTGGCCATCTTGAGTTGCGTTGCTAATGTGACAATTTAACTTAAATTGTCAAATATTTGATTTGATGTCCAGGAAAGATTTCCCTGCTAAAGCCGATGTGATGATGATAATGGTAATGGACGATGATGATGATATAGTTAGCAATACGGTTCGGACCTAGTGCACCAGTAAAAATGCCGTAGCTGACCCTTGCTGAACTGAGGTGTAAAAACGTGATTTGCTAAGTCAGCTACAGGAACTAAACATGACATTGCTGCTTCAATTTATTTGTTTCTTTGAAATAATTAGGAAAAACAATTCACCTGTGAAACAATTAGTAGAAACTGTCTTTAAAATCAATAAAATATTGTACTCCCATTCGTAACGCCCTGCTTGCATTCTGGCTACGGAAAGTGGGCGAGGGGCAAGCTCACCGTTGGGGAGGGGGGGGGGGAACTCGACATGGGAGGAGGCAGTGGCCCACCTAAAAGAATGCAAATCAACATCCGTGCCTGCACCGGTTGAACCTGAAACGAAACTGCACTCTGTTTTTTTTCACTGCATACACAGATTCAGAGAATCACGCCCTATTAAATGGAAGGCATAGGGTGCATTTAGGTCTTGCCACAGTTATAAATTCTGAGAACAGCCTTTGGACGCCGTCTAGGTCTTCCTTATGTTCGTCCTTTCTGCAGGTGTACTTATTTATTTGTCGAATTGGTTACTTTGCAGGATTGCCTGTGATCGGAATTCACCACGGATAGCTCGTTTCAAAGGCCCAAATCCCACCGCCTCAGTCGACCACTTCCACGGACAATTTCTGCCGTACATTTTTAAGGTGCCACGCGAGGCCGTGAAGCAGCCCCCCCCCCCCTCCCCCTCCCTCGCCAGCCCGACGCCCTCGGCCAGCTGCCAGCCGACTGTCATCAACGAGTCATACAAACACCGAGCCCGGGGTACCAAGCAGCGTTTCCGTCATGCAGGGGTCAAAATAGGTCCCGATCCCAAAGCTGAGCTATGGAGACGTTTAGACCAAGTCATATCACATGATTGCTGATCTGTCACACGGAATACTTATGAATAAACGCAGCAGCGCAGCCAGTACGTAAACACATTACAGATGGTTTGCGATAGAATATATGCATGGGCCAGATGAAAAAAATAACAAATTCATTAAGACGTTTTTTACGCCGAGGCACGACAGAGACGGAAACGGAAACCAACAAATGTGTTTCTTCTCGAATTTGACCCACTATTTCTCAAAGTTGAGGAAAGGCAAGGGGTGGGGGGGGGGGGGCAGAGGACGGGAGCTGGAGCCTAAGTTGGTGGAGCAGGGGGGGGGGGTGAGCTGGAGCCCCAACTGAATGGCAACCTACACCACTGACTGCAGCGTCCTGTGTTTGAGACGGGCTCGGAAAAAAGTGGCGTTCGCCGTACCCCGATGGATTCTTGGCTTACCTATGTGTTGCGGTTTTTGTTATCTATAACTAAGCTGTTCAAAGAACGCTCGCCTAAGCCGCGAAGCTGGTCCCACAGCTTCACATGCTCTGCTGGCTGAGGCCTAACATCAGTCGTTAACAACAGTCCAAAGCGGGTGGATCAACCGATTAGCTCACGGAGGCATGCGACTGTCGGTACTCATCGGCCGATACTGTGTCCGATAGGATATCCATGTTTTCCTCCACAACAATTTGTCGTTTTTGCTCCGCCGCCGGATCCTTCGGATACGCAACCGGTTTAGACCCGTGCTCCTCATCGCTTTGGCAAGTTGAAAATACTTTGTTTTCGATGCTAATCGCATGGAGCAGGTGACCCTGCCGTGTTTTTCCGACGTTTCAAGAGCCACCCACTTGACCAAGCAGCTCGCATGAAAATATCCAACAATTTATGCAGCACAACTTTTAAGAGATGCGCTACTTGCCGCTGAAAACTGTATGAGCCTTTGATCAGTGGTCGCGAAGATATTCGCTCGTTAAAGGCGCAGCGGCCCAGCCGGCCGCTCAAGACGGCACCATCGCCGTTCAACGCGAACTCACCTGGCCGTCAGCCCTCTCGGGAGTGACCAACGTCCTCACACAGGCACTTTCAATAGTTTAGCACGTTTGAAGAGGCTTTAAAACGGAAATGGCAACATTTCCGGAGGCTGACAAAGCCAGCTGATTCCAGAAAGCCGCCGCGAGGTGCCGCTAACGGTCCTCGTGCACGAAGGTCTGCACCTGCGCGGGCCTTCAGGTCAGGCCACCTGCTAGGCCTCCGTTCTGAGAGGTGCACTGCGGACCGCGGCGTAAGGATGTGAGACGACACGCGTCGTAAGGTGACCTTTTCTCGCTCGTCTGTGTCTTGAACACCTTTGTTGAGTTCTACTCACTCACTATCCTCAAGCGACAGCGTCCGAGGGTCTGCTGTGTCGTTGCAGGGGACGTGGAAACGTAGGTCCGCGATTTTGTAAGAAAATTAAGTGTATATTGTGGAAAACAGTCATTATGTGCATAGGTCATGCTGCCCTACGATATCCAGATGACTATTTTTTCTAGACATCTCTTGAAACTGCGTCCTTCGGAAAAAACTGGGCTAGAGGAATCTTCTACCACTAGGAGGCTTTCTGAGCCAGTCCAGTACGAAAGCTGATCTAATTCAAGCTTGCTTTATGAAAACAATTCCCGTCGGCTCTGTGCCAGCAAGTTGCTCAGAAGCGGGGCCGGCCGTCACCAGTTGGGTCAGGGATGAAGCCCTGCACCACGCCTGCGTAACACACCGCCGCAGCTGGTCCCGACCGCCCGCCGATCGCCGGCGTCAGTTGTTACGTGCTGGCCTGCCCGGCCTCGGATGTAGGTTGTTGTTCGTTGTTGCCGTTTTTTCCGAAGCCAGTTTTTGCGTGTTGAGTCAGCGTCGCTGGCTGCGTGCCCCACATGAAACCGGAGCCAGGTTAACAATACGCGGGCGATGCATCACTGAGCTCACCTGTGATCTGTTTTGTAACGTTGGGCATCCTTCAGTAGCAGAATGAGGCGCTCTGACTATACAGGTGATATGTCCGCTGAAAGTGAACATGCTCACCGTGGGTTTGCAAGGATTGACTTTTCTGGATTTGCGAACCCGGGTGGACAGGACCGGCCGACCGAAAACGGCATATTACTGGACTGGTCACGTCACTCAGATTACCGATTTGATCCGGCAGCCTAGCTCGGCCGCACGGGCACACGGGGCATTGTGCAGCGCACGCCTGAGCGCGGCGCGGCGCGGCGCGGCGTGACCCGCCCCCTCCCGGACCCTGCCCGGTTACCGCCGACGCCGACGGGGCCCAGTGAGCCCGCCGGCGCCGACGCGTGAGCAACGGCGGCGGTGGGGCACGATGTCGGCCGCCAATGTGGTCAACGCGAGCAGCGGTGGGCCGCTGCCGGCGGCCATCCAGCTCAATCTGACCTACCTGCCGGCGGCCCTCTTCATCGTGGCCGGCGTGGTGGGCAACGTGCTGGTCTGCCTGGCCATTTGCCTGGAGAAGTCGTTGCAGGGCGTCACGAACTACTTCCTGCTCTCGCTGGCCGTGGCCGACCTCATCGTCAGCTGCATCGTCATGCCGTTCGGCCTGGTGGCCGGCCTGCTCAGTGAGTACCGCAGCGCCGTGGGGCGACGCGCCGGGGGCGGGGGGAGGGGGGGGGGGGGGGCGCCGGCCCGCGGGGCAGACCGGTTCAGCTGGTCCGATCCTGAGTGAGTACCGTGATCGCCGCGACCGGGAGCGGGGACGGGTGGCGACTGCGGGTCGCTTTAGGCAATCGGAGCACCGGGTCAATTGGTCTGCGCCGTGGCTGATTGCAGCCAGGCCTGAGCCCCGTCTGGGCCAACTGGACGGAATGCAAACTACAGTTGCCCTCAATTCTGCCCGCAGTAACTTGTATTAATCCTCCGAAGGTCGTTGGGTGGATTAAAGGCAACCAAAGCCCCTACCATGTGACGAGATGAGACTTTGCCTTGACGTCTGTGAAGTGACCACGGAAACCTTAAAAGACGGCAGAAAGTTTGGCGTGGGACCTTCCGGCCGTTTGAACCGCCAGCCATCCGGATATTTTGTAAACATAAACACTGTTATTCCCTAACGATCAGTCTTGATCCGGAAAGGCAAGAACACAAACTAATGCCTGGTTTCACAATGGATCACGGCGTGAAAATTTGTACAAACATTTTTAAAAGCTTACAGCGTTTATTCTTTATGCACACAACTTCTATCAACGATTTTCGGCTAGATATATTTGCAGATTTAAAAAAAAACGCTTGGAAAGACTATGTTTTGATAAAATTGTAGATGCCTTGCTATAAACAAGATTATTTTTTACGGTTCGGAGCCAGATCTGTTTCTACCGAAGCTTTTTGAATTTGATGTAAAATTACCTCACCAGTTTCTCACGTCAGTAGGTGTGCTGCAATTTGTCAGTAAGCAATGACTGCGGACAAGGTGGCAAAGGCCACATTTTTCGTTAGAGAGCTTAACGAAAAAATATATCGTAAGTCAAAGTGTGACATCGTGATAATACCCAGCGTGTCTGTTCGCTAGAGCGTGTACTCATGGATTCATTCTAAGGCGTGAGAAAATATGCATTGTGTTCGTAAACGTACTTCAACCAGTTCCAAAAACAACGTTTGAAATTAGAGTACAGGTGCCTCATCATCAAGGTAAGCTACAAGTAGAAGACGAACTGAACCGCCTGTTTCGAAATTCCCTAGTTGCGACACACTCAGAACACAGAATGTTTTCCAAGTGTCGCGTGGAATGTTTTCCAAATGTTGTGATAACAGTGAGGACCCTGCCCTTCCGTTACCTCGACGTTCCCGTTGCGGTCAGAACTCTTCGTGCGCTGTTGGCCATATCGCAATCACCGGTGAAATGGATTAAAACGCTTAACAAATCCGACGTACGCCTCGGTAGGCTCCATGCCGCAGGCACGTGCCTAGCATACACTGCCCGAAACGAATGACTGGTCAAAATTGTGCCAAAGTGATCATATGGACGCCATCAATCAGTATTAGTAAGCAGTATTAACGTATAACTGTTCATGTGATAACGTCTACTGGCACTGTTTACTCCCTGCGCTGAAACAGCTATTTTTATATTGAGAACTTGTAGATGTCGCCCCTAAAACCCCACCGGCACCTTGTTCATTCCCGAACGTGCTTGCACGTTCGGGTCATGAAGAGCTACCGCTGATTATATTATCACAAGTCATAATATTTCAACTCAACTGACTCTGTACCTGACGCTACGCGTAAGCCACCATCCTTGAAAAGTTACGCACAACTTCGCGCTGTGATCTCGCCGCGCGAACTGAGGTATCTATGCTGCTCCAGCAGCCTGCGCGTCGGCGTCAGGAGGTGCTCCGCCTCAGGCTGCTCGGGGACCCCGCCTGTCAGGCACGGTCTGCCCCAAACGTGCTGACTTACCCGGTAATGCATCGATGGCCCCAACGACACCGGTGTCCGGCAGGCGACCGCTCCGCAAAGTTCCCTCGTAAACCGGGCACCCTCACTTAGCGCCCGGAGGAGATTTTGCATGACACTGCCGCCAGCCTATATCTGGTCATATCAATTTAAGCGGCGCTCATCATAGGGTTACGTAGCACTGGAAGTGCGCAGCAATCACGGGGAAGGTTTATCGCAGTGAGTGAATTGCATTGAGTGAATTGTGAATTGCCTGTGATCGATGGGCTATCCATGCGGTGATGTGTGATAGTGTTTAACGGTGCGTATAATGGTGCAGTTATATAATGTAATACTAATGTTAATAATAATAATGTTATCCGGGCTCGTGCTGGATGTTTTACAAATGAAGTCCATATGGCATGGGAATTGATTACCCATGGCGTCTCATTTATCTCACCTGCCTGTTCCCTGTTTGCTCGTTTTTCTAAACGTTTTCGAACAGTCTCCCGTTTGCTTGCACTGAGGCGGGTCTTTGAGGCTATGATCTTGCGGAGCAAACAAAGCACGGCGGCGGTGAAAGGAACACAAAACTGGAGCTGGGCTATCGGCTGTAAAAATAACATTACTAATATTGGAACCTCGGCAGCACATCACCGGGGTCTTATTCTGATGACTATATCTGCGGTATACTCCATTCCGACTGCGATATTCGACGATATCCCATGCATGGGATCAGCTTATAATAACGACATTCGAAGCACGAAGCCGGTGTGTCGCAGTCATGCTGGCATCATGTTGTCACATTGCCATAGCGTTAGCCGAATCACGGGAGCACTTCAGTCGATGATATCGGGAGCACCGGGCCATGTTCGCTGATGGGGCTCGGTTCGGCGGGATGAGGTACGGGGCCGGAGGCGGGTGGCGAGGCCGGTCGACGCCCTCTCCTCCCCCGACTGGCCATCCCGTCATCGAAACTAAGTAGGAGTCGTTCGTCTGCCCGGCTTATCTCTGCGAACGGCGCGTGCACTGGGGGCCTTCCAGTTCGGGCGGCTGCTTAGTGGCAGCCGTCCAATCATTCAGACGGAGCGTGCCGTTGCGGGCCGCTGTCCCGTGACACTATCTCGGGCCACTGTGACCTATGAGACGCGTCGGGCTCGACACGAGATCCACGCTGGCTCACTAAATCGCGGTGTGTATCTGATCCGGTGCTGTGACGTCATGTTCCACGCAAAATAAACGGGATGCGGCACTGTGCACCTCCTTAGGCCGCTACGGATAGCTGCATAAAGGATCATAATGAAAAGTCACGCTCCTGCTGCCTTCATCACAGCGATGCCGACTCACATTGTGTATATGTAATTAAGGACGTGCATTGATTTTAATTCGGTGTGTGAGTGGTAAATGAGGCCTGCCGCATTTAAATACGGCATATAACTTTCCTCGGAGTAACTCCGGGTGTCAGTTAAGCCGGCGCCGCGCTCCATCTCTGTCGCGAAGAGAAGAACGGATGCCGCCGGGCTTATGAGCCTGACGGCGTGGGATTTGCGAGGCTCTGGTGCCGTCAGTGACTTGTGAGTGGCCTGGTATTATTCGAACCGTGGTCTGTGAATGAAGAGTGCCGCAGTTCGGTGGATTTCGTCGAATACGCGTGTGCTTAAAGGTCACCGTTTTCACGCTCCTCCCGGCGTGATATTTATCCAATCCATACACAGCTGGACAACCAAGACGTGTGCAGACTTTCGCTTGACTCCAGCGGAATCTATTGTGATTCCGTGACCGATTCCGTCTTGGCCTGAACCGGATTCGTATTGGGCGCCATTGGCTGCTAGGCTGAATCCGATTCGATTTCGTACACGTGGTGTACACAGAATCGGACTTTATTTGGTTCCACTTTGAAAATACATTATTCACAATTGATTTAACCACAATATCTGGTGTGCCAGGACGGTCGGCTCGCCGCTGCACAAGGTGAGGAACCCAGGAAGTATGTGGTAGCATTCGATCTGACGTAACAGTCGTCGACTGTCTGGTCAGTTGCTATGGGCGTAGGGGTGGAATCAGCTGTGGGCACGGACCTCCACTCTATTACTTCGTTAGGTAACGAACTATTCTATAGAGTGACGGGCTCATTGGGCTTACATGCTCCCGGGTGTCTGGTTAAATGTTCTGCGTTTGGGTGGGGGTCAGTTCCCTTCTTCCCACCTTGAAATCTGGATTGTAAACCAAGCTATACACATCAGATTCGCAGGGGAGGTAGGGTTCTATGTAAACTAACTTTTGTCAGGTTTTGATGTACCTAGGTCGAGCCGTTGGGGTCTCGACCTATGGATCAAGGTTTAAGTAATGCCAAACAAGCACAAACTCTAGATAGGTGTTCGAAGTGCACTCAAATCTCCTAACGCAACGTGCCCTCATCTAGACATCACTTAGAAGTAAAATATCGCTGGTGCTCATTTTAGGCTAGTGTCCGTATTTCACCTTAAGAAGATGAAAATTACGAAAAGCTTTGGGGATTATTTTTACGATTGAGTTCATAATCGGCGCCAAGTATCTACTAGCCTTGGTAGCATGCTTCTGAAAGCAAAAGGCTTATGACATATAATTATCATACTATCATATCATAATCATATCATATTCATACATCATATGACATAATTTTAGGTCAGCAGCCTCCCCTGACCTTCATGAGGCGATGATAAGATACCATTTGATGTCGCTGTGATCAAAAAAATCAATAAACGTAACACAAAAAATAAAGTCAGAAGGCAAGCTTGTCAGTTATAAAGCGGCTTGACTTTTGACATTAATCTGATGAATATACCTGACTCAAAATTAATAGCTGCATTCCTAGTTTGAAGCGTCTAATCGTCTAAGAAACCATGTAGAGTTGTATGACTTCGTTTAATGCTAAGTTGTCGCATCATTTTGGACGATTTCCTAGAAATTGTGGAATGTGGCAGTCAGAGGCTGACTGATCTGCCATGGGTCAGCGACCGTACAAGGTACATCTAACTTCCTCATATCAAAAGATTGCCCACTTCATTGTCTATAGCTAAACCAAGTTTGGCGTGGCTGCGCTGCGCCGTTCGAAGCTTATTTTGTAAAAACTTTCGCGGGGTTGATCTCTCGCAAGAGCTGGTGTTTAAAGACTGCAGGCACCGAGTGAATTTCATTGCTTTTGTGGTCCGCTATC